CCAAGAAGCAGCCTGGTCTCATCCTCTCTAGGACGATCTTGTTTGTTCTCCTGGCAGTCCTTGATATATTCAGCACTGTTCTCCTGCAAGACAGGTCAAAGGTGTTAATTCTCCTTCTATCATCCCTAGTCATTGTATAGATTTCTGATGCAAGTAATTGCCTGGATCAGGGGCACCTTAGTCTCCAGACTGACATCATTGTTCTTCAGTACTTTGGAGAGGTCTCTGACAGTATTTTCCTTGCTAAACCTTTTTCTTTGCTTGAACAGAAAAGCCTGAACTTCTCTTTTGATTTACTTACTTAACAAGAGAAGAAATAAAATTTAAGGCATACAATGGAGTCATATTTTTAGGGAGCATATTTAGGGAGTAGACCAGCTACACAAGTAACTTTCTATATCCTTTATTAATACGGGAACACAGGGCACTCTAGGGGCTTATCCATCTGGAATTGTACTATTAAATCCGAGCAAGGGGCAGTGACTGTCTTATGACTTGATTAAAAATCCTGGGGGAGAAATACGGACAAACACGTCCAAAACTTTCTACAGAATCAGAAAACATGCTAGAGGGGCTAAGCCATCAGTTGGTTCTGACCACAAGCAATGAGTTTTGATATTAGAATCTAGGACGCAACAGTTAAGTGTTCAACTAGTGGCGAAAGGCTGGTCTTACAATGAATCAAAAAACTCCTTGAAAGAAAGGTTTGGCATATGCTTTTTAAAGGAGATAGATAGTCTTACAAACCCTCCATTGTGTCTTAGAGAGGGTGAAACTAGTCGGCTCCTTGGAGAAAAAGTTTCTGAAGTTCCCTTTCCCATACTTTGGGCATGTTGTCAGGAGGGACCAGTACTTGGAGAAGGACATCATCTTTGGAAGGGCAGAGGGTCAGCGCAGGAGAGGAAGAGCCGGGATGAGATGAATTGACACGGCAACGGCGTCAGGTGTGTCAGAGACAGATGAGGTTGTATCAGGAAAGGGTAGGGCTAATAGCTTTTGATCATAGAGTTGCTATGATTCTACTCTATGCACGTCACAACAAGAGCAGCCTTACAAACCAGATTGGAGTCTTACAAACTCCACAATCACTAACAAAGAAAAGGGTTCTACTCGGTCAGGCCAAGGACAATGGGCATTGTAGACGTGAGGATGACCTACGATGGGTCCTAGGAATTCACTTAAGCAACGTTCTGAAGACCAGAGTAGCCCTCCTAGAGCTTCTGTAGTAAAAAATGGTGTTGTTGTTGTTGTTATGTGCCCTATGCACAACAGCCCTAAACCCTGCTCTATCCTGCGCCAACCGCACTGCCTCTGATGTGCCCATCCCGATTACCCCAGTCACCAAATCAATCCATCTCATAGAGGGTCTTCCCCTCCTGTGCCGTCCCTCCACCCTCCCAAGCATGATGTCCCTCTCCAAGGACACGTCCCTCCTGGCAACATGTCCAAAGTATGTCAGACGAAGCCCC